ATACCAATGGACTTTTCCAAAACTTTGGCAGCAGTTTAGATGTCAAAGCCTTGTCCAGCCGCAGGCCCACATTGAAAGTGCAGGTGCATGATGAATAGAATGTATGTGTGATATGCACTGATCCTCACGCAAAGCCGCAGTTGTGTCTGGCGTTAAGGGGTTAATTAAACTAACACTTGGTAACAGACTAAAGACAGGCTTAATACTTGACGTGGAGTATTTTTATTTAAAAATCATTAGCATGTGATAGTCGAAATAGGAAAGTAATCATGTTGACTATTAGTATTACTTGTCTCCCAGTTGCCCCAGGGGGTGGTGCTGCTTTTGTCCTGGCATGACGCTAGGGCTGGTGATTCTCTTCTTTAAACTCCAATAAACACAGTCTTCAATGTGTTTGATGTCTTTACCTCCTGGCACATCAAAGAACTCCGTAGTCAGTCCAATTCCATTCATTCCAAGCTGAAACACAGCAGGTCTGTCATGCATTTGCAATAAGGCTCATCTACAGGTTGATCTTCAGAGTACTGCATGCTCCAGTGCAAACCTGTGGTCATTTTGTGCTACCGAGTTACGAACGAGTATGTAAGATAACGTTGAACATGTCATCTGAATCAAGTAAAATTGTGTTCACCAAAAGTGATCCTCAATGAGAACATTTGCCTCACAATACCTTACAAAATCTATTAAATTAGTGGTTAATCTTGCTCATTTCAACGGAGTCAGCTCTTTTGTGTACAATAAAACAATGGACGACTTGGACAACAGATGAGTTGGACAGCTGTCGATTTGACTTCTCAATTTAAATGCGCAGTGATTGGAGTCCAGTTGGCAATCGGTCAAGTTATTACATTGTCAGTCCAGACACCCATTCTGTGGATGTGTGTTCTTGTTTGATCTTGTTTGCATGCAATGTACATGTACCTACTGTATTTGTCATTAGCTCCACTGTGTGGCCCAATAAATGACCTGTACCCCTCATGAACATACAGGTCTGTTTACCTACACAGGGTCATCCCAGTACATCATACAAGTAAATGTACACGCAGTTGAGCCACATTTATGGGACTTCTGCTGTGCGGTTACATTGTCAGCCCTGTACTACATGTACATTAAACTTTTACTCTTTTTATTTGCATTTCAACTTTAAGATGTATCAGTGCTGTGAAAACTTTTCCGAAAGGAAATACATGTAATGACTTCTTCCTACATGTAATTCGTGCAAAGCTTTTCAAATCAGATGGATTAAGAAAGATTGTTGAGTTGCAGAGACTACCTGCCTAAATATTGGCAAAAGATGAAATCTCATCAGTTTTGACGCAAACTTAATCTCTTCAACTTCTCTCTTTCCTCTCCACAGTAAATTCTTGGTGTACATTTGTCTACTGCTATTTACATTACTCTTCGCGTTGCGGTTGGATGGATATATACAGTGTACCTACTGGGTGGTGTTTCTCCCTCTCTGGTTTTGGAAGGTCATGGTCATTACAGGGGCTGTGGTTGCTGGCTTTGTGTGGTGGAGGCATCCAGCTTACCGGTGAGCGTGACTGTTGAGATGAGGGCAGAGTGTCAATGTAACCCTAACTCCCACCGAATTCTTACTGCAGACTGTGAGGATGAAGTGGGAAGGGGGCTTAAGTTGTGAGACCATCAGGTATCAGTCAACCCTAGCAGTCCCAAATCCTCCAATTTCAATATGATTTGACATACACCCTAGGGGTTAGGTTTAGACGGATCCATTCAGCCTAGTACCATCGTAGGACCTGCCAAGAGTGGGACCATGTGGGAGGGGGGGGGCACTAGCTCCCTCCCCTGGCCTCTAGTGCCAGTGATGAATCTTCTAATGCCTTCATTGTGCAGGGAAACATAAGGCTTTGGTGTAACCTAATGGTGACTTGTAGTACCTTACATAATCCTACCAATGCATTCATGCATGTACAAATGTACATGTACAGCTGTACACATATACTCCAATATCGGGTACATGTAGATTTTTAATGAGTTTCAGAGAGGTTTACGGTTAATAAGATTTTTTTTCAATTGCTTTTTGGATTCAAAGAAGGGTAATGTGAATGCTAAATGAAAGAAAACTTTGGAGGATGAAATTATAATGCAGAGTTTAGATTGTGGTTTGATGTGCATGTAAATGCTACATACACGTAGAAAAGGAATAATGTATACATGTACATGTAATTGAATTGAATGGAAAGGCCTGCATGTGTCCTTCATGATTTCTGAGTTTCAGATACAAACAAGTTCATGCGGTCGGAATGATACTTTTACATTTCCCCCATCTCCTGCACTCTCTTTCCTTGCTAAAAATTGCCTCCCTCCCCATGCCCGACAAAAATAAAAGGTACCCTTTTATAAGATTTGCTGATGTTTATTAAACTGAAAAACTGCGGAGGCTACATATAGATGCAAAACTCTTTTTTTTTTCATATATCTTCCAAGAAAAATTTAAGTGAAAAAAGATGTATTTTATTCAGCTAGTCAGAGTGTTCCAATAAGCCGTGTTTGATGGAGTGAACCCGTGTATTTTGTGCCAGTTTTTTTTTAAAGAAAAGTCTCAATTTGAGGGTTTTTTGTTCACCTTATTCTTTTGAACCCTTGTGGCAGAGTTGAGGGTGAAGGTTACGTGGACATGAAGGCCATCATCATCTGCCTGTGTCTCAACTCTCTCCTCCTCATCTTTGAGATCCTGGCCTGTGACCAGATGGACAGCTTGAAGGGCGACAGGCAGCTGGTAGGGAACCACCTGTGGCTGGTAGTCTTCATGCCGCTGTTCCTGACCTCTCCCATGTCCATCGCGGCCTGCGTGTGGGGCTTCAGGCATGACAGGGGTTTA